TGTGATATCTAAAATATAAAATAAGGAGAAGCCTAAAACAGTCCCGATGCCCGGCCCGCGTCTGAACTATGACGTGAAAATTGTCCCGAAGCCCAGCCCGAGGGGCGTAAAAAAGGGCTGAAATGCAGGGCTCTAGCTCTGATCTAGCACAAAGAAAACGATTTGACTGAAAATGTATCAGAAGAGATGAAAGAAAGATAGTGGTCATCTACGCAAACTTTCGTTTAAACGACAGTCAAATTAGTCGTCGCGCACATCCCTAGTTTGAACTAAATGAAAGTAATGCATAGCGTTAATATGGAAATGGTGCTGGTCTCTTTAAGAGCGCTATACTGCTTCATTACACAAGCAGACTAGCTAACGTTACCCCGAACTTTGCATGCTGTAGTTCACATACAAAATGATTGTATGCATATGTACAAGTCATTGGTGTTTGGTGATGAGTTTTTGGCTCAAGGTCTGCATTTAAAGTCACACCAGAGGTGTTCAGCTGGGATTAGGACTTGGCTTTCTGCAGACCAGTCAAGTTCTTCCACACTGACTCAATCAATCTTTTTATTTTATTTTATTTTTACCTCGTTTTATACACAGAGGCATTGTTGTGTTAGAATAGAAAAGGCTCCTGTCCGAACTATTGGTATAAAATTAGAAGCACACAATTCCATAGAATAGCATTATATGCTTAAACGTTAAGATTTGTACTCGTGGAAATTACTAAAGTAGTCAAACCTGTTAATTAGAAGGGGGGGTTCCAATACTTCTGGCAAAATAGTGTACAAGCTATACTAGCTATTCAAAATCTGTCTGCAATTTAATAATATTGACCTATTACTTTTGCTATTGCTTTTGACCATTAGGTATCCGTTACATAATTCATTCAGAATATGGAATGAGTTTGACTACTTAATCAGTTATATTAATAAAAAAATACTTCACTGGGGCAAACAAAAAATCCTAAAATAATAAATAGGATACCCCATAACACCAGCATTTCCAGCAGTATCCAACATTTCTCAATCATGATCTTACTCAGCTAAATGTGACTATTAGCTTAACAGCTGTATTCCTTGTTTGCTAGCTACCTATGCACATAAAGCATACGATGTTAAAAATGTTCTACATTATGAACCTTAACCCAAAAACCTTTAGCTTCATACACTGTAAATAATTGTGACCCTGCCTGTGGAAACCCAGCTAGAGTATTTTTTTTTTAAACAGTGGATGAGTAATTCACTCCTTGATTTGGTTAATAAAAGCCTCCTTTGAGATCGTTTTGACAGACATGTTTATTGTGCATTATTTTCAACGTGTTTATCGCTAAGTTTAGTGTGGCGAAATAGAAGCACATCCGTAATTCGCGTGCAGTGTATCTGGTTGCCATGACAACCTCACCGCCTCCTGCTGCTGCTGTATGTAAGCAGAGTGTGAATTTGTAGATTTTCTATAGCAAAACTAAAATGTGTTTAAAAGTGCGACTGACCAAATAGTCCGGCTCGGTTTGTAGTGTTAAGGGAAAGCACCTCCACAGCGCGTGCTAGCAAACTAGAGAAAGACAGCCTTTTTTGCTTGCCACAATAAAACGCTATTTTTCTGCATTAAACAAGCTAATTTTGCCAAGATATTTTCAGAGATGATAGACGAGATGTTATAGAATAATAATTGAATGAAAACTCAATTTTGACAAAAAAAATGGACTTTCAACCAATTTTTTGAATTTCCTGAAAATGTCCCAGCTCGACATCCGACGGGTTTTCCAAGATCGCATCACATTTATTCAGCTTTCAGATGATGCATAAATCACATTTTCAAAAAATTGACCCTTAGCACTGGTTTTGTGGTCAAGGGTCACATTTGCAGAACTGTGAAATTATTTGCATAAGACTACTACAAGTTTTGTTGTCCTCAGACCGGGCCGTCCCTTTAAGAAGCTTCGAGGTGGTGGGCGTGGCAGGAGGCGGGCCACTGGAGGCGTTGACCAATGTTCACAAGGCTCCTCCTCCCCACACTCCTCCTCCAGTTCCTCATGCGAAGGCTATCCCGGCGACGATCGCATGCTGTTCTCTCTCAGAGAAGACCATTCTGCGCATGGCGGCCTGCGTTTCAACAAGAAAACAAAGGGTCTGATCGACGCCCTCAGCAAGTTCTTCACGCCATCCCCGGAGGGACGGAAAGCCCGAGCTGAAGTGGTGGACTATTCCCAGCAATATCGTATACGCAAGAAGAGCAACCGCAAGGGCGAGCATGATGACCCGACAGGAGGTGAAACTAAACTGTTTAACTTTCAACATCTGTATTAGGTGATCCATGCTTGCATGATAAGGAAGGTAAATGCACTAAGAAATGGTAATTTCTCCCAAAATGTCGTGTGTGTGTGTGTGTGTGGTGAGATTAAAACTGAAAGTGTCCCACTTTATATTAAGTGGCCTTTAGGGATGCACGATATATCGGCCACCATATCGGTATCGGCCGATAAATGCTCATTTTTTCTGTTATCGGTATCGGCCCGATAAGAAAATTTGGCCGATATCTTAAAGCCGATAAATAATGCATTATTTCCTTCAGAGACACTTCAGATGCGTGCTGTTCGTTTGCAGCCTTTTGTGCAATTGTACGTTGTAATATTATGTTTATTTGATGTATATCTGATTTATCTCATATAGAATGCGTTTGGTTAAGTTAAAAGAGTGCTTCAGTTTACCGGTGATCATCTTTAGCTCAGCGCACGCAGCTCAAACAGCAGTGCACAACATTAATAACTATGATTGGGAATGTCGTGTATATAACATTCTAATGAGAACATTATTATAATAAAACGTTGTGAATTCTTTGGGTTTAGTTGCTGTGTTTCAGCGCGTTGTTATGGGAAGAGCGCATCCACAACAGTATGTACACTAAGTGCATTGCACCAAATTAGTAATTTAAATGTAAGTACATAGTGGTTAAGGCCACTTAATATAAACTGGGACCACTGGAAGGTATTTCTTGGAGTAATGTTGTGCTGACTTTTTGTGCTTTACATACACAAGTAACACTATGATGTGAGTGATGTAATTTTTTTTTATGCTTTTGCTGGAAGTCTCTAATGCTCACCAAGTCTGCATTTATTTGATCAAAATGCAGAAAAAACTGTAATATTATGACATATTACAATTTTTTTATATATATATTTTGAAATGGAATTTATTCCCCTGATGGAAAGCTGAACTTTTTTCAAAATATTTTTTGTATGATCCTTCAGAAATCATTCTCATTTGGTGCTCAGGAAACATTTCTTATTATCAATGCTGAAAACAGTTCTGCTGCTTCATATTTTTTGTTTTTCAGGAGTTTTCAATAAATAGAATGTTCAAAAGGACAGCCTTTATTTGAAATAGAAAATATTTTATGGTAACACTTTTTTTAAGGTGTCCTTGTTACACGTTACATGTACTTACTATTATAATAACAATAAATTATGCATAATTTCATATAAGGAACCCTAAGCCAAATCCTAACCCTAACCATATAAGTAAGTACATGCAGTTAATTACTCAGTTCTTAAATGTATAAGTACACCATAACAAGGACACCTTATATTAATATAATATTATAAATGGCTTTACTGTCATCTGATATTTGAAGAAAGAAGTCTGGGTAGGACATGAAAAGTACAAATTAGATCTGAATGTGCTGTCTCTTTTATTTAGCTTCATGTTTGTGCTCTCACTCACTCTTTGGCTGTGGTGTTTTTCTGAATCACAGACAATCAGGAGTGTGGAGACAACTGGCGGGAGGACGAAGACAAACTGCCAGGACACGAGAACCTAACTGAGAAAGATATGGAGCTCTTTAGGCACATTCAGGATCTGGCACTACAGGTACAGAACGGGACAAAATACAAATACTCATTAATTTGCTTTTGTTAAATGTCCCATCTGAATTTCGTTCATAAATAATCATTTTTTTCATTTGCTGAGAAACATGCTCCTATATGTGTGTGTGTGAGAGAGACAGAACAGAATGATACTGTAATAATTTTAATTTAATAAATGCATTAACAACAAAAATCAGAGTTGAACATTTAATTAAATGCATATGCTAATGTGTAAACTTTGACGGATTTTAATGTAAACAAAGTGAATCCTTCTTGTCGATAAACCGTATGCTTGATGGTAGTGGTGCCTGTTGTTTGTCTGCACTCACTGATTCTCTTTTGCTGTATTAGCAAAGACTTGGAAGCTGCGAAGGCCTTTATCTCTGCAGAATGTAATGTGGGGGATTTGAGAGTTTCCATTATCTTGACAGCTGGTGCCTCTCTCAGTGATACACACACAAACACAAATGCACATGTGTAGACTGATTGGCTGATTTGTGTGTGTGTGTGTGTGTGTGTGTGTGATTTGAAGGTCCCAGCAGAAGCAGCCAGTCTCTGACTGCCTGAGGCCATCAGTCGAAGAAAAACACTCACTAACCCAGAGAGAAACAATCATATTCGCACGCAGCATCAGACAGATCCAGCATGCTTTTGTTGAGCAGCCAGAAAAGAAAGATACCATGCTGCAGTCTGACAGTATTAACTGAATGTGGGCTCTATAACATTTAGGACATGTACACACTGCAAAGTTTAGGGAGCGGTAGCTGCATGTAAGTATGGGATTGACTCACCGAAGACAACTTTATGAATTCAAAAATGAGAGAGCTATGCAATACCATCTACAAAATATTGTATTGTATATTGTTATTGCTGGTAGTAATATTGCAACAAATACATCTTGTAGGCTGTTCACTGAACATGCACATAGACAAACTATTTCTATTAATCCATGTGCAGCCTAATTGCAAGCACTTGTTATATCACTTGTTATACTTATAGCACTTGTTCTACTTGTATATATCTGCTCCGATTTGCATTTGCTTTCGTTTGTGTGTGCATGTTTGTTTCCTCTTTAACAGCACAGAGATTCAGCAGAATTGCCGTAATTAGTTTCGAACATAGAAATGCTACAATTCACAAACATTTATATTTTTAAAACCAACATGGCATGTTCTGAACGAGCTGTTTCACCTCCACTTTGCGTATGTGTGTGAGATGCAGAGAAGTGTGTGATCACTACTGAGTGTCAGCAGGCTGGCAAGTGGCAGGTGCTCTGAATTTCCACTTGGGCTGCGGATAAGAGCTAATAATAATCCTGTAAGCTTGAGTGTGGCGCTGTATGCTTGTGAGAAACTGTTTGTGATCATTAGAACGAAAGGCAGAGCCTAGGCGTATTTCTTGTGTGAAAGAGAGCGACTGTTTTCTTTTGTGTGTGGCAGGATGCTCTTGGAAAAAAGGCATAGTGGCCTAATAGTTTCTAAATTGTAAACGTACCCACTTTATCGGTCTTAACTCCTTTTTTTTTTTTTTTTGTACTTCATCTCTTATAGAAAGTCGGGGTGACTGGTCCACCGGATCCCCAAATGCGCTGCCCATCTGTTATAGAGTTTGGGAAGTATGAAATTCAGACGTGGTACTCTTCTCCATACCCACAGGAGTACAGCAGGTAACCAACAGCATGTGTCATAATCATCCACAAACTTTTAAATTTTTTTCATAAAACAATATATATATTCCCATTAAGATAATATTGTTAATTGCAGCTTCAGCATCTTACGGTGCGTTCACACTTGTAGTTCGGTTCTCTTGGTTCGTTTGGTCCGGACCAAAAATGAAAACGATACATTTGGTCCTGGTCCGCTTAACTAAAGATACCAAACCTAAAGGCATATTAATACATTCACAACCTGATTGGTTGGGTTGAATGATGTATATTTAGTGACGGAACTTCCCAAACAATAAGTGTGTTCGACTTAAAGTAGCACTGCACAGACCGATCGGTAATGATGGGCAATACGGGCTTAAAAATACATCACAATAATTTCTGGTATGTATTGCGATAACGATATCAGTGACGATAATTCAGGGAATCTTATGCATCCACTAAGAGACAAAAAAAAAAAAACGGTTTCTTTAGAGAAAGGTATTATTTTTCCTATTTTTCCCAAAAGAGGGTGTTGTGAGTGAGTGAATATTACCGAGTACACACGTAATGTAATGACTGTTTAATTCATACTGGAAGCCAGAGGGCGCCCTCGCGCAGAAACTCCACAAATCCATAGCAGAAGTATTAGCACTGACAATGTTCCAGGAAATCCCTAATATGGACAAAGGCATCCTGCTATCGTGGTAGCTAGAGAGATTTTAACTGATGAAACTGGAAGACCATAAACATACGATTGCGACGATATATGGTTTATCTGTTTCTTCAAGCAATATTGGGTATTTTTATGAGGATAAAGTATATTTAGCTATAATGCAATGCTAACGATATAGCCTTTATCACTGTATATAATACTATAAAATAGTATGATTTCTGCCTCATTCTGTGATATGAAACCATGTCTGATAACAAAAAGTTATTTCAAACACTCGACTTAAGTTAATTTGGAGAAAACGCATGTCAATAAATATATTTATATTTGTTGGGCAACAGGTTTGTAAACAGGCTCATGCACATGCAAAACTGTATTGCACACATGCTACTGTAGTACATTTATTAATTTTTTTTGGTCGCAATGTACAGCCCTGACCAAACCAGTTCCAGATCGTAGAAGGAGCTCCTCGTTTAGCGCTAAGCTCCTCAGTTTAGGCCTGTCACGATAACAACTTTTTGTTGTGTGATATATTGCCCCAGAAATAATTGCGATAAGCTAGGCCTGCATGATTAATCGTTTGTAAACCGAAATCGCGATTTGAAAGGGTGCGATTTTCAAATCGCAAGAGCTGCGATTATTTAGATGAAGGACTATCAGAGATTTAACAAGCATCTACGTAGTTTTTGACAGTTTGCTTCATGCGCATTTTACTTTGATGCAGAGTTTAACCAATAGGGGGCAGTCATGACAGATGTTTGCATCATGACAACTTAATGTTTAAGAGGTTTTAAATAAACAGTAGCTTAGTTTGTGATAATACTTGGTATTTCTTTGGTGCTGTTAAAACCACCACAACAGACCTGTAGCTCTTTTATGAAATAGCAATAAATCGCATTTTAAATCGCAAATCGCAGTTTTGATCAGAAAAATCGCAATTAGATTTTTTCTCCAAATCGTGCAGCCCTACCCCTTACCATAATCGCTAGCTTCAGCTTTTTCAGCCCGAAAGGGGAACAGAGTCGCGTTAATTGTTAAATTAAATTTTATTAAAGGGGTCATATGATGCGATTTCAAATTTTCCTTTCTCTTTGGAGTGTTACAAGCTCTTGGTTTTTCTCCAAATCGTGCAGCCCTACGATAAGCAATTTTATTGTCATTTTAAGACCATTTTATGCCACTTAATATATAATCATAATATAACAGCATAATAATGCAAGAAGGCCTACACACTTTCAAATGACAACAAACTTTTAATTCTTAAGAATATTTAGATCATGGAAATTAAGTATCAAAATATTAGATACCTTAAAAAACTTAAATAGTAAATAAACATTTTCTAACAAAAAGTGCAAGTCAGTCAGATGTCTGTATGCACAAAGGCACAGATCTCTAAACAAGGCCATATCTGCAAATGAAACTTTTTTTTTTTTGTAGAAGCACTACATTACATTTACATTGAGTCATTTAGCAGACGCTTTTATCCAAAGCGACTTACAAATGAGGACAATAGAACGTTATGTACGAGAAGCTGCAACAGACACAGGCGCAAGTGGAATGCAAAAAACATGGTGACATTAATTTTTATGTAAATATAATGGGCAATATATTGCGTCACCAAAAATGATTGAGGACATGTACATATATTGTACAATAAGTTGATATATTATTGCAACAGGCCTACCTCAGTTTCACGTCCGCCTTTCGCCATGTCACTCCGCACAGTTGCACATAGATATATGTCAACAACTAGACTTTATCGATATCATGGGAAGACTAATTCTTATCGTGGGGAGAATTTTTACCGGTATATCGCGAACTATAAGATATCGCCCATTCCTACTGATCGGTGTATGACATCAAAGTACCCGTTCACTAATCGGTCTGCACCGTGGCGCTTTAAGTCGAACACACCTAATGCCGTCTGCTGTACTAAGCACGCTCATTGTTGCATGTATATATTATTTTATTTTCACCACCTGCTAACTCACGAAGAGCTCATAAAAGGCACTTTACCTCCTCGTTGCTCCACGTTTGCCCTCTGCTCATTTTGTTTTGGATACACCGCTTGTTCCGCGTCGTCAAATCATGTTGCATAGCCTCGCATCTTGTCATTACATCCTATTTTTGGTTCGTTCGTTTAGTATTTGGTCTGTGTTGCATTCATATTTTATTCGAACCGCACCAGAGTTCGTTTGCAAGCGGACTGAGAGCCACCTTTTTAGCAGTCTCGGTCCGCTTGTTTTTTGCGCACCAAGGTTCGGACGTCAACGTTCACACTTACTGAAATGAACCGCACTAACAGAGCAATCACACCAGAGTTTGTTTTAATCGAACCTATTATGTGAGCCTGGAGCACAAAAGCAGTCTTAAGTTGCTGGGGTATATTTGTAGCAATAGCCAAAAATACATTGTATGGGTCAAAATTATTGATTTCCACAAATACACGCAGACTCTCGTGCACGCTCGTCTTTGTTTATACGCACTTGGCAGCGAAGACATATGCTCGTCAACACTCTTGTCATGCACACGCAAATGTGTGTTTTCATGCGTTCTGAGCCAACAAAGGAAATCTCATTCACACTGATACTAATAAATGTAGAACGGAAAGCTCTCATTGTTTTAGGATCACTAATGGTGATTTACTACATCCTTTGTGTTTCTATAAGAGACCATTTAGGTGTAAACATGACATGCAGATCTGAATAGGTGTGGTCTAAGTCAATGCTGCCACTGTGACCTGTGCTGGCAAAATTAGTCACAGTGAGCAAATTTTCAAAATTGAGTTATTTTTATTTTCACATTCTCCCTTCAAAATGATACATGATTTGTTGGAATCGGATGAAAAATGCCTGAGCTTTGAAGTCGATAGAGTCAGCAAAGTCAGTTTTGAGAAATCTCAGGTTGAAGTTTTCTGAAGGTTCCAACGCAAAATCACCAGCAACATTGCATCATTTCCTCCACTTACTTTCTTAATATGAATTACTATGTGACCCTGGAGCACAAAAGCAGTCATAAGCAGGGGTGTGAAGTAACGAATTACAAATACTCACATTACAGTAATTAAGTAGTTTTTATCAGTAATTGTACTTTTTTGAGTAGTACAGTGTTAACTCACGCAAGCGCCACATTTGGTAAATTCCCACTCACTTATGAGACGCGCGATCTGCGCTGCCTCGTCTCTTTCTCGCGTGCGTTCTGCAGTTTTTCTTTTATGCCAAAAATCATTAGGATATTAAGTGTAAAGATCATGTTCCATGAACTTTCACTTTCAAATTAGCGGCAATTCGGCGTCAATTGCTTGAATTCAATTCAAGCAACAACAAAATACAACATAGAGCATAGAACCTTTTTTAACAAAACAAATAAAAATACACCATGCTATATGCCTAAAATAAAATAACAAATAACTTACACAAGGTTTAGGTATACAAAACTGAAGATCAGTAAACACTGTGGAACCAAATAAATAAGAAATGTACGTTTATTACCAAAACGAATAAGAAAGCTTGGAGACACGGCATACTAGATGTAAAATAAAAAAATACACCGTTTAAATAAAAATCAGCAAACACTGGAACGAATAAAAAAAAAAAAACGTCCAATATCACCTTAGATAAATTGTAGAAGCCAACAGGCTTTTCAAAATCCAAAATATTTTTTAAACCGGCGCTTTTGCATGTCATTTTGAAACTTTTGTCTGTCTCGCCTCACTCTTCTTGTCGGCTTCTCCTCACGTGATAAATGCAATCTGATCTGTGATGCGACTGTCGTTCGACTGTGTTCAGTTTTTAATTGTAGTCTCTGTTCTCTAACTGAACTAAATGATTTTTATTACTATAAAAAATCTAAATGACGGTGACCATAGCCTGTATGTTCCACATTAATCAACACTACTCTGTGTTGTCTGGTGTGTTACTGCTTGCCTTCTTGTTTGGCCAGTTGGTTTTAGAGGCTCAGGTTTCAGTCTGGTCCTGACTCAGCAGGATACCTGTGGTGGCAGCTCTGCTAAAAGCTAACACTGTTGGCATTCAGCCCATAGGAGAAGCAGGAGCCGTGCAATTTATCACTGTGGAGTGAGTTTCGTACCAGTCTCTGCTGCACGACCTTTCAAAACGTTGATTTAGTATTTAATAATTGAGAGTCTTACAGACATTTCATTTTGCAAATATTATGAATGAGAGTTGATTGTGTTTGTGTTGCATTATCTAAAGCCTAGCAATGTCACTTCACATTGGCAACCAAATAATCCGTTTGCAATCGGACTGAAAAGCCTTCATGAAAACACCCATAATAGAAGCAGCACGACACAGCGGTTATGTGCTTATTTTCACCAAGTTATGACCAGAATTGGATACATATTAATTCTGCTGTTTAAAACAGTCAACCAAAGGTTGAAAACATCTTTTCTACACTCCAGGTGGATGGAAATGTCAGCACAATATACTGTCAGAATCTGTGCCTGCTAGCCAAGCTCTTCCTGGACCATAAGACGCTGTATTATGACGTGGAGCCCTTCCTCTTCTATGTGCTCACACAGAATGACAGTAAGGGCTGCCATCTCGTAGGATACTTTTCAAAGGTGAGCTAAACCTTTTTTGAGTTACTTGACAGTGTTGAGCAATTTGGGTTTGTTGTTAATGCTACTTTTTGCAAATTTTGACTACTTTTGTGGCTTGCTTACAGTAGATGCTTTGTTTGCTTCTTTATGGGTTGATTATCCTCCTGGAAAGATGTTTAAAGTGAACTTTTTTTTTTTATTATTAACAGGTTTTTGCCTATTTTGAGGGTGAATCGTGGATGCTGTTTATGCACTCCGTTTAAATAATTTTAAGAACTATTTTGATAGCTGTGTATGGTGTTCAGTATGGGCAGTATGTGCAATTTTAAACCGAATACGATCATACCTGACAAATACATTGTGTGGCACATGGATAGAAGTGTGTTTGTTATATTTGCTTGAATTTTACAAAATCCACCATAGCCTGTATGTTCCACATTAATCAACACTACTCTGTGTTGTCTGGTGTGTTACTGCTTGCCTTCTTGTTTGGCCAGTTGGTTTTAGAGGCTCAGGTTTCAGTCTGGTCCTGACTCAGCAGGATACCTGTGGTGGCAGCTCTGCTAAAAGCTAACACTGTTGGCATTCAGCCCATAGGAGAAGCAGGAGCCGTGCAATTTATCACTGTGGAGTGAGTTTCGTACCAGTCTCTGCTGCACGACCTTTCAAAACGTTGATTTAGTATTTAATAATTGAGAGTCTTACAGACATTTCATTTTGCAAATATTATGAATGAGAGTTGATTGTGTTTGTGTTGCATTATCTAAAGCCTAGCAATGTCACTTCACATTGGCAACCAAATAATCCGTTTGCAATCGGACTGAAAAGCCTTCATGAAAACACCCATAATAGAAGCAGCACGACACAGCGGTTATGTGCTTATTTTCACCAAGTTATGACCAGAATTGGATACATATTAATTCTGCTGTTTAAAACAGTCAACCAAAGGTTGAAAACATCTTTTCTACACTCCAGGTGGATGGAAATGTCAGCACAATATACTGTCAGAATCTGTGCCTGCTAGCCAAGCTCTTCCTGGACCATAAGACGCTGTATTATGACGTGGAGCCCTTCCTCTTCTATGTGCTCACACAGAATGACAGTAAGGGCTGCCATCTCGTAGGATACTTTTCAAAGGTGAGCTAAACCTTTTTTGAGTTACTTGACAGTGTTGAGCAATTTGGGTTTGTTGTTAATGCTACTTTTTGCAAATTTTGACTACTTTTGTGGCTTGCTTACAGTAGATGCTTTGTTTGCTTCTTTATGGGTTGATTATCCTCCTGGAAAGATGTTTAAAGTGAACTTTTTTTTTTTTTTATTAACAGGTTTTTGCCTATTTTGAGGGTGAATCGTGGATGCTGTTTATGCACTCCGTTTAAATAATTTTAAGAACTATTTAGGAGAAGCATTGTCAACAAAAGTATAACGTATCCTGCATTATGATTCTTCCACAATACCAGCGCAAGGGCTATGGGCGATTCCTCATTGACTTCAGTAAGCACTCTGCATTATCTTTCCACTGTTAACTCGGTTTCTTTTTTGCAAAGAAAATATTTGAGAATTCTACTCCTTCAGATAGTGTCATTAGACACCGAGGATAAACTGTTATGATTCTCTCTGCAGGTTACCTGCTGTCTAAGAGGGAAGGCCAGCCGGGTTCACCAGAGAAGCCATTGTCAGACCTGGGCCGGCTTTCCTACATGGCATATTGGCGTAGTGTGGTGCTGGAGTGCCTACATGAGATCAGCGATCGACAGCTCACCATCCGCAAACTCAGCAAAGTCACTGGCATTTGTCCTCAAGATATCACAGCCACTCTGCTTAATCTGAATATGCTGGAACAGAGAGGAGACCGGTGAGAGAGATGCTCACACACTGATTTTCATTGAGTATACATGGTTTAGTGCTAACACAAGGATGCACCACATTGATCAAAAGTGACCGAAGAGACAATTTTTACAAAAGAGTTTCGGTAACACTTTATTTTAAGGTGTCTTTGTTGCACGTTAAATGTACTAACACGAAGCAACAAGTAACACGAAGCCAAACTCTTATCCTAACCATATAGTAAGTACATGTAGTAAATTAATATTATAAAACGGAGAGTTCCGGTCCTTGATTCTGATTGGCTGAGCCACGTTCGAAGCTGTTGTAAATGACTCTACAAAGTAACATACACCTTTGTTTACTTCTGTGTGTTGCTCGGCAACTACTTTGTAGCAACCACAACTGTTTCTGAGGAGCTACATTGTTTGGTCAGAAGTCAGAAAGAGCTGGAATACAAGGAATTTGTTTTGGTGTCACAAGCTTCCAGTACACAGAGACGACAACTACAACACACGGATAATAAAAAATAAGATGTGAATAAAATACACACGTGTGTATATATAAATAAACAAAAAACTGAAAATATAAATTGAAAAATAAAATAAATTGTATGTACAGGTGTGCTATAGATCAAATATAATATTACTCGGTACTTAAATGTATTATTACACTGTAACAAGGACACCTTAAAATAAAGTGTAACCAAGAGTTCTATTACAAATAAGTGCTGTTCTTTTTGAACATTAATATTTATCAAAGAATCCTTAACTTTTTTTTACAGTTTCCACAGATGTATTAAGCAGCAGAACTGTTTTCAGTATTGATAATAATCAGAAATGTTTCTTGAGCAGCAAATCAGCATATTAGATTGATTTCTGAAGATCATGTGACACTGAAGACTGGAGGAATGATGCTGAAAATTCACTATATTCACAAATGTATTACAGTAGAAAACGCTTACTTTAAATTGTAATATTTCTCCATATTACTCTTGTTAATTGTTATATCAAAGGCAGGCTTGGTGAACATAAGAGACTTCTTTCCAAAACATTAAGAAATCTCACTGACCCCAAACTTTTAAATGGTGTTGTATGTTTGTTACATTTGTAGCAGTCTGTATAGTAGTTTCCTGATTTGTCCTTTCTTGTTATAGAGTGATTATCCTGCGAAGAGAGAAACTGGTGGCCTCGCACATGGCCCGACTTAAAGCCAAACCTCGGCTCCTTGAAGTTGATCCAGACTGCTTGCGCTGGACGCCTGTTATCGTCACCAACACAGTAGTAACTGAAGGAGAAGGGGATGAAGATGAGGAAGAGGAAGGAGGAGAGGAGGAACCTAAAGCTGTAAGCATCTTGACTTTTTTTCCTAGGTTCAGTGGATGCAGTGTTTGTGTACCAGTTAGAGCTGCACGATTAATCATTAAAAGATCGCGATCTCAATTCACCCATGCAGTCTTATTTCTAAAATGGAGCAAATCATTTTTTGAAAGTAATTTTCGCTTCAAATAAAGTTTGTTGATTACATTGTTTCGCCACTAAGTGGCGACAAGTGACTGTTAAATAATGCATTTGCCATTGAATCATTCATTCAAGAGATTTGTTCAAAACTGCTGATTCATTCAGTAATGGACCAAGTGAAGTATTTATGAGTGAGTGAATTATTCATTAAAAAAAAAAAAATAATAAATTAACAATTGTTTCAAATTAATTAAACATTTTTGAATGGAATGAGGCAATTAGTATTATAAAACGGAGAGTTCCGGTGCTTGATTCTGATTGGCTGAGCCGCGTTCGAAGCTGTTGTAAATTAGTCTACAAAGTAACATACACCTTTGTTTACTTCTGTGTGTTGCTCGGCAACCACTTTGTAGCAACCACAACTGTTTCTGAGGAGCTACATTGTTTGGTGGAAGAATACTGTTTTTATTAATATCATTACACTTTATTTGCTCTGTTTTATTTTGTGAAACCTTACTACTTATATGGAATAACCGTTTTATAAAAGCAATAAACCCCGTGAAGCCGTGGTTTACAGTGAATTTATAACAGGTAAGGGGGGCTTCGCGTCATACCTAACATCGCCCCTTAGCTGTTATAAATTCACTGTAAACCACGGCTTCTTGGGGCTTATTGCTTTATTTTGTCACAGGCCCTAGTAAATTACATGTTATTTAGCTTAGTTCAGAATCGTGATCTCTATTTAAAAAAAATAAAAAATAAATCGTGATTCTCAATTTGTCCAGAATTAGGGTTAGGGTTAGGTCCAGCTAACCCTAGCTGAACTTCTGTTCTCTGCATCTCTTCTATAGATCAAACCCAGCCACAAGAGCTCCCCACTCTCTTGGCATTTGAAAGGGGAACGGGAAAAGGAGGGAGAGAAAAAGAGCTTCCCAGCGTTCCCAAAAAAGCAAAGCTCTTCTCCATCCTCTTCTGTTTGCAACAGTGTTCTCAGTCCTGAGCGTTCTCCCCTTTTTCTTACGGCTAATGGGGAGCGCAGGGGACCTGGCCGCCCTCCCAAAAACTGGTTATGGGGCAAGGTGAAGGATGTACCACGTACAGGACCAGGTCGACCCCGTAAACTAAGGCCCCCGGAGGAGGAGGAGGAGGATGATGATGAAGAAGAGGAGGAGGAGGATGATGAAGAGGATGAAAGAACTGGCATTAATAAAGTGACAACATCACCGATGCTCTTGACTTTAGAAAATGAGCCTGACTCCACATCAGCCTGTCCCTTGGAGGCTTCTAGGCACCCCGCAGTTCCACAGTCACACAGCAGAGGGCGGCCTCCACGGAAAAAGCGTGGCCCAAAACGCAGGCTTAGTGAGGAGCCTGAAGATGGCCTGCCATCTTTGCCCCACACCACAAGGCTGAGTGAACCCTCGCCAGCCTTCATCAGTGAGAGCAGTGAAGATGAGGATGAAGATGATGAGGAAGAGTTGAGTCGTTCACCACCTGTCCTCACCAAACCCACATTAGGGCTTAAATGCAAGGTATGACACAAACAAGTCTGTTTTTGCTTTGAAACGCGCACTTTGTTCAGGCGATCAGCTCGTGATCCGGTGTTTTCCGCGGCTCTGTTCACACTGAATAAATGCTAACTGTCTTTTAATGAAAACACAAAACATTATTTACCCCGTTTGTATCTGTGAGGCATCCTTTACACATTTTCCCTGTGTGTTAAAGTAATTTTGACTGTCGAATGTCTGACTTGACTCTTGGTAATGTATTTTGCCCCGCCCCCAAAACATGATTCGACTATCAGTCGAACTTGACTTTTTTTCCTAGGTTCAGTGGATGCAGTGTTTGTGTACCAGTTAGAGCTGCACGATTAATCATTAAAAGATCGCGATCTCAATTCACCCATGCAGTCTTATTTCTAAAATGGAGCAAATCATTTTTTGAAAGTAATTTTCGCTTCAAATAAAGTTTGTTGATTACATTGTTTCGCCACTAAGTGGCGACAAGTGACTGTTAAATAATGCATTTGCCATTGAATCATTCATTCAAGAGATTTGTTCAAAACTGCTGATTCATTCAGTAATGGACCAAGTGAAGTATTTATGAGTGAGTGAATTATTCATTAAAAAAAAAAAAATAATAAATTAACAATTGTTTCAAATTAATTAAACATTTTTGAATGGAATGAGGCAATTAGTATTATAAAACGGAGAGTTCCGGTGCTTGATTCTGATTGGCTGAGCCGCGTTCGAAGCTGTTGTAAATTAGTCTACAAAGTAACATACACCTTTGTTTACTTCTGTGTGTTGCTCGGCAACCACTTTGTAGCAACCACAACTGTTTCTGAGGAGCTACATTGTTTGGTGGAAGAATACTGTTTTTATTAATATCATTACACTTTATTTGCTCTGTTTTATTTTGTGAAACCTTACTACTTATATGGAATAACCGTTTTATAAAAGCAATAAACCCCGTGAAGCCGTGGTTTACAGTGAATTTATAACAGGTAAGGGGGGCTTCGCGTCATACCTAACATCGCCCCTTAGCTGTTATAAATTCACTGTAAACCACGGCTTCTTGGGGCTTATTGCTTTATTTTGTCACAGGCCCTAGTAAATTACATGTTATTTAGCTTAGTTCAGAATCGTGATCTCTATTTAAAAAAAATAAAAAATAAATCGTGATTCTCAATTTGTCCAGAATTAGGGTTAGGGTTAGGTCCAGCTAACCCTAGCTGAACTTCTGTTCTCTGCATCTCTTCTATAGATCAAACCCAGCCACAAGAGCTCCCCACTCTCTTGGCATTTGAAAGGGGAACGGGAAAAGGAGGGAGAGAAAAAGAGCTTCCCAGCGTTCCCAAAAAAGCAAAGCTCTTCTCCATCCTCTTCTGTTTGCAACAGTGTTCTCAGTCCTGAGCGTTCTCCCCTTTTTCTTACGGCTAATGGGGAGCGCAGGGGACCTGGCCGCCCTCCCAAAAACTGGTTATGGGGCAAGGTGAAGGATGTACCACGTACAGGACCAGGTCGACCCCGTAAACTAAGGCCCCCGGAGGAGGAGGAGGAGGATGATGATGAAGAAGAGGAGGAGGAGGATGATGAAGAGGATGAAAGAACTGGCATTAATAAAGTGACAACATCACCGATGCTCTTGACTTTAGAAAATGAGCCTGACTCCACATCAGCCTGTCCCTTGGAGGCTTCTAGGCACCCCGCAGTTCCACAGTCACACAGCAGAGGGCGGCCTCCACGGAAAAAGCGTGGCCCAAAACGCAGGCTTAGTGAGGAGCCTGAAGATGGCCTGCCATCTTTGCCCCACACCACAAGGCTGAGTGAACCCTCGCCAGCCTTCATCAGTGAGAGCAGTGAAGATGAGGATGAAGATGATGAGGAAGAGTTGAGTCGTTCACCACCTGTCCTCACCAAACCCACATTAGGGCTTAAATGCAAGGTATGACACAAACAAGTCTGTTTTTGCTTTGAAACGCGCACTTTGTTCAGGCGATCAGCTCGTGATCCGGTGTTTTCCGCGGCTCTGTTCACACTGAATAAATGCTAACTGTCTTTTAATGAAAACACAAAACATTATTTACCCCGTTTGTATCTGTGAGGCATCCTTTACACATTTTCCCTGTGTGTTAAAGTAATTTTGACTGTCGAATGTCTGACTTGACTCTTGGTAATGTATTTTGCCCCGCCCCCAAAACATATGATTCGACTATTAATCGAATATCGGCAAGATTAGAAAATTCCGATTCGACTATGAAAATCCTTAGTCGGGGACACCCCTAGTAATTTCCCTACTGTAGTGTAAAGCAAAAATAATATACCTGTGAAATATTCATTTTCATTTATTTTACAGTGCAATTGTTTTACAATATATGGCTATTGCTGTCATAGGAATAACAATAATATAAAATTGTTGTTATATTATATTCTAATTTGTTTGGCTAAAACACCAGTGTGAATGTAATTTAGATTGAGACAGTATACCACAAATAAAAAGAGGGTAGAGTTCCCTTTAAAGTTCAGGTACAAGTCAATTCAATTATTTTTTCTGACTTAAGTTTTCTTAGTTAAGAACAGAAGGTTGGAGCTAGTGCTGGGCGGTATACCGGTTCATACTGAATACCGGTGTTTATTTTTCTCATGATATTAATTTTTTAAAAACAGCAATACCGGTGCATGTCGCTTAAACAACGTTCGGAACGCGTCACTGTTTGAAAGAAGTCCCTTTTCACTGTTGCACTGTGGTGAGGGAACAGCTGTATGTGTTACTAAGCATGAAAGCCGAAGCTGTAGAACTAATAGAACGTGATGACACAGAAGAACTCATCCACATTGACCAACACAAATATCCACCGGCCCCTGCCATCAGCTCCCGCATCTCGCACACACGAGCGTGACTTTAGCACTAGATTTAGCCACTTTCAGACCCTTTTAGCTGCTTTTTCCATAGAATATACATACTGACTTACATACTGACATACAGCGTGAGGCCCGACTCTCCCGGCGCAGCATCGTCTCTCGGCGTCTGTTCTGCGCAGTGAGCGGCAGAGAAGCAGCACATTCAGTTGCAGAATCGTCAATAAATGAGTACAAAACAAGGTTTCCAAGCACCTGTCGCTAACTGACTGTTTGGAATTATAAATATGAGCATAGTTCGTCTATTAATATTATGCACTTTTTGTTTGTTTTTTTTTTAGTTCGTTACTCAGATGCAGGCAGTGCGCTGCATGAGAAAAAAAAGTAATATAGCCAAAACCACCACATAGCCGCTCTTTAGTGTTGGCGTGATTATAAATGAGAGTGACTCCTGGTTAACATTCAATGGGTCGTGTTTGGTCACTATTTAGTGTGGAATTTATTCACTCATCATGACAGTAAAATAGGGCATTCTAAGTCAATCTACTGCAGTATTTCCTCTATTTCCTCGTAGAAAGTGGGTAACACCTGGTCATGCATGGAAAAAAATAAATACAGTCATATACCGTGAAACCGGTATAATTTTGAAAAATGCCGTGATATAAATTTTTGGTCATACCGCCCAGCACTAGTTGGAGCTCTTAATTTTTAAATCTCAAAGTGCGTTAGATAGAATAATTTCACTTTAAAATGTTCTCATTTTTTTTCCAAGTCTTCATTTGTCTTTTCTTTTTGTTTACAGTAAATATCGTACCGTGGACTTCATACCGTATCGTGAAATTTTGATACCGTTACATGCCTAGTAGGCTTTTTCTAAGAGGCTAGAAAAACCCAGAAATAAAAATGTTGTGGCTTATTCTAGAACTGTCTTTGCTTTTCTCCCCTTGTAGTCTCAGAAGTCCTTGCGGAAGAGGCGTGTGCATCAGCGCAGCCATCCTCACAGCAGCGTCGTTACAGAGACCATCTCGGAGACAACTGAAGTTCTGGATGAGCCATTTGTTGATTCAGATTCTGAAAGACCCATGCCCAGGCTAGAAGAAGAAACTCCATTTGTCAACCCTCTCCGACGCTACGCAGCAGCCCGCAAACACATGGGACATGCTCCAAAAAGCATCAACAGAGGCAATCTGACTGAATCGGAGGAAGACGGTTAGTACAGCTAATAGGATCTTCTAACACCGAAAAGGAATTAGATTCATATCAATTCTTGGGGTCATGATTCGATTTTTCACTTTTTAATCACGATTTTTCATTAAGTTTTTGGTGCACACTGGACGTCAACGCACAAGATTTTAATACAAAAACAGCAGTCTATAGTATGGGTTGTCCTTATTCAAGAAGTCAGTGTTTCCTATTAATTTCCTAATAAATCAAAAATATTTTACACTTCCCATTAGGAATGTGCCCGAATCCGAATACCGTGTTCGTAAAGGAAATGACGTGTGCTATGAAACCCCTACAGGGAATAAATACGAGATGGGAGGAAAAAAATATATGTCAATGCTTTCTCTCGCAATTATTTCGTTGGGTAATTATACTGTATATAAATTGCGGGCATCAGGGTGCCGTTATTAATATGCGAGGCATTGACATCGCTTTTGATTATGCGCTAGTTTTTTACTTTCAAGTTCGAGATTCGCGATCACACATACTCTGTGTATACTACAGAGCGGCAGTACTTACCACACATTTAACAAGATTAGATGTTTGTCTGATGCTCAGGATCTGCAAATCATTCGCCATCGTCCTCAGTCATCTCTCCTTACTCTGTTTATGTGGTAAGCAGGGCTTTTGTCAAGGAACGAAAACAAAAACCCGGAAACGAACGAAATTTTGACAGGAACAGAAACAAAATCAAATTTAATAGTTTCGAACAGAATCGAAAATTTGAAATGGCCATTAACCGGTTAATAACGTTATTTTATCATTCCATTTAATATTTGAATTTTGCAGTCAACCAACATCAACCAAAATGTGATGTTGACGCATCCAACAAGTGAAGAAAACACCATGTTGTTGTTATTATTATACTAACTAGAAAATTGATTTTTGAAATTTGTGAATCAATGCAAATCGCTAAAAGACTGAATTGCGATACATATGTGAATCATTTTTCCCCCCACCCCTAACACCTAAGGATGCCTGCTGTGGTTTTATATGTGCAATCTTGAAAGTTATGTGCAATAGTGTGATTTAAAAAATTGCTTCTCTTCTGTTCAGATCCCACTCCTGTGCTGAAGCCAGTTGCTGTCCTGAGAAAACCTGAACCTTCAGAGGCCACACAGAGAACAGGGGCAACAGCTGAGATGCCTGAGGTTCCAGTAAAAAGAAAGAAAGGCTGGCCTAAGGGCAAGAGTCGCAAGCCACTCCACTGGAAGAAGCGTCCAGGCAGAAAGCCTGGTAGTGGAGCCGGTCAGACAGCTGACACCAGTCTAGCAGATCCATCCTCAGAGGACCCACCACCTCCAAAGATCAAAATGAAGCCTGGCCGGAAACCTCGCAGCTATTACCTGCAGCGTGCACAAGAGGAAGCATCCAGACAGGAGTTTGAGCGAAGCCAATTAGCTCAAGAGCAGCTAGACAATTCAACACTGGAGGACAAAACCTGTAAAAGGACAGCCAGAGCCTTAAGCCCTGAGAAACAGAAAGACTCAGAAGAGGAGGACGATCTCCTTCAGGACTTCAGAGAGCCATCCAAACCCAAAAGGCGAGGTCGGCCTCCAAAAAATGGCAACCTCCCTCCCCCTGTACCCAAACCACCTCCTGTGTCTGAGCCAGAAGACGAAGATGAGGAGGAGGAAGACCAACCATGGTCAGTTGAGAAGATCAGCCGTCCTCCTTCTCGTACCATGTCGCAGTCTTCCAGCACCAGAGTTTCTCAGCCGAGAGCTGATGCAGAGGAAGATGAAGAGCGGGATGATGAAGATTGCGATAACGGGGTTAATCGGAGACCAGCAGCAACACCAGGCTCAGGAAGCCGGCGCAGCGACGATCACGACGCCGACGACGAAGGGGATGGTCGTCTCGAAGAGAAAAGTGACAGCAGCAGTAGCAGTAAAAGAAGAAAGGGCCAAGACTCTGAGGATGATGTTGAGGAGCAAGAAGACGAAGAGGAACCATCATCACCTGCTCGCTCTCCCCCCGTGAAAGAAGAACCCCAGAGCAGTGAGGGTTTTTTAGACATACAGACAAACGTGGCAAGGGATTACGTCAGCAAACAGGAAGAAGTTGAAGGCGAGGAGGAGGATGCAGAGGAAGTACAGGAGGTGAAGACGAGCTCTGCTGATACGGATGAACGCCGCCGACGAGAGCAGGAGGAATCTGCGGCAGCCGCGGCGGCTGTAGAGACTGTAACCGCAATCGTGGTGCCTTCTGAGCCGCTGGAAATGCATCCATTACACGTTGAGGATAAGACCGCGCACATGATAGAGGCTGAGCATTCACACCAGCATCCCGACTTCAAAGATGACTTGAGTCACCAGCAACACGCGAATCACCACAGCAGCGAGCTGGATCTGGAAACCGTGCAAGCTGTACAGTCTCTCACGCAAGGCGAGGCCCAAGAGGAGGATGCAGAGTCTCACGGAGCTTACCAGGATTGTGAAGAGACGCTAGCTGCCTGCCGAACTCTGCAGAGCTACAGCCACGGTGAGGGTGATGAGGAAACGCTAGCTCTGGTGGAGGATTGCGGAGCCTCCCAGCACAGTCCCATGCCTAACCCACCCATGCCTACGTTACCAAACCAGTCTGTCCGTTCAGTCAGCAGCCCTGGGGTGACTCCTGGTCCTATGGATCCCGGATCGGGAGTGCCTGGTCCTACAGCAACTGGAGGGGGAGCAAGTGGAGCGTATACCCAAATAACCCCAGAGCATCCCAGCTCTCTATCCGCTCCCTCATTGCAAAACCTAGAGACCTCTCCTATGATGGACGTGCCATCTGTTTCCGACCATTCCCAACAAGTGGTAGACAGTGGATTTAGTGATTTGGGCAGCATTGAAAGCACTACGGAAAACTACGACAATCCGAGCAGCTACGATTCAACGATGGGCGGCAACGGAGGAGGGAATGGAAGTAACGGAGGTGGCATGTCCGCAGCGGCGGTAGCGTCCTCCTCGTCTTCGTCCTCAAGTTCAACCACACCTTCGTCGTCTTCGCAAGGCAGCAGCTGCTCCTTCATCTCCACGTCCTCCAGCACAGGAGTCGGCTCTCAGATCGCCATGGGCAGCTGTAGCCTTATCCAGCAAGCTGGTCCTGGACAAAACGGCGGAAACGGTGCACCACAACCTCCTCCTCCGCCTCCGCCTTCCTCTAGCACTCCGAGTTGCGGAATAAAATCTCCACAAGGCTGCGTCATTGAAAGACCGCCAAGTGCCAGCCAGCAGCAGCAACAGAAAAAAGTCTCACAACCGACTCAACAACAACAGCAGCAGCAAAACCCTCAACCGCAGCCTCCTCCTCAACCGCCTCCTCCTCAACAGCAATCGCTCTCGCAGTGCAGTATGGGAAACGGCTTCGCTTCCACACCCATGATCATGGAGATTCCCGAGAGCGCTGGCAGCGCCGGAGGAGGCCGGAGTTTGTATGACCGCATGGGACAAGACTTCGGCGCCGGCGGTTACAGTCAACACTCTGCTTCTTTCAGTTTAGCCAAACTCCAGCAGCTAACCAACACCATCATGGACCCCCATGCAATGTCTTATTCGCATTCGGCTGCGGTCACCTCATACGCGACGAGCGTTTCGTTATCCAACCCAGGCTTGGCGCAGCTCGCTTCTTCTCCACACCCGCCTTTGCCCCAAGCCCAGCCCACTATGACTCCACCTCCAAAGTTGAGTTCTGGCTCCATGAATCTCGGTTCCCCTTTGATCCAGTGCAACATGACAGGCGCCAACATTGGATTGCCTCCTCCTCCGCACACGCAGCGTTTGCAAGGCCAGATGGCCGCAGTCAAAGGCCACATTTCAATCCGCTCCAAAGCCTCTCAGATTCCTACAGGCTCCCCGCACCAGCAGCAATTGTACAGCCGCAGCTCTGGCGCTGTGACCATGCAAGGCTCTCCGCGAACTTTAGCGGTGCAACGTGGCATGATGACGAACCTCATGCCAACCCCTGCCGCTTACAACTCCATGAACATGAATCCGCTCAATGCTGCCATGTCTGCAGGCTACCGAATGCCACAGCCCATGATGAACAGCGGGTACCACAGTAACCCACCTTACATGAACCAGCCAGCCCAGTACCCCATGCAAATGCAAATGGGCATGATGGGAGGCCAGGCTTATCCGCAGCAGCCTATGCAGCCCAATCATCATGGCAACATGATGTACACGGGCCCCTCGCACCACAGCTACGCTGGCGTCCCCAAGCAGTCTCCATACATGAGCAGATGAGCGGCAGAGAACGAGCAGAGAGAGAGACGTTCCCCACCGGACTCTGCATCGCTGTACTTTATCCATTTGTATCCACCACCCTCCAAAGTCTGGGCGAAAAAAGATAAAGTGAGCTTGGTGGAGGAAGAGGACATAGAGACTGCGACGATTTCTTTTCCTTTCTAAATGTGTTGTCGCCAAGCTCTGATCCTTTTTAGGTTCATTTCCCAATTGCCCTGAGCTGGGGAGATGATCTAATAGACCTTTATTGTGGCAAGTGTCATGCTCCCACAGACCCTGTGTGGTGGACCAACAGGGTTGGTTTCCACCGAAATTCGAGACCGAAGGGGCGAAGCATCAAAGCAGCTACAGGGGAAGTGGACCTATTTTTTCAAACTGAGAAACATGCATTTATGCTGTTATTGAACATGCATCGAATCATGCACACAATCGTTCAACTGACATAGGAAGCCTTACCTAAAAAAAAAAAGAGACAAAATAATCGTAGATGGACTATTTTCTTTTTTTATTATATTAGTATTATTATTATTTTATTTTTTAAGATGTTCTCGTTTTTTTCAATGACTGTTGAAATGCTTGTTTCAGTCTGACTTTCTCATGCTTCATGTGTGTGGACAAAGTGATTCACGCTCGCTCACTCGCATTCACTCACACAGAGCTCTATAGTCACTCGTCGAGGCGCACGAGGCATCGCAGGTTTCTGTAAATCGGTGTCTTCCCAGTACAGAATCGTGTATATCCAAACGCAACAGACGTCTGATAGTAACGACCATGCATCCATAGACTGGACTTAAACAGAAGTCCTTGGGAACTAGTTAATGTAAATATTCTGGTACTACCTGGTTCACAGCACAGAAATCACAGGAAAGAGTTTCATAAACACTCCACAGATGTCACTAGAGGGCACAGCAGTCAGTAGTGGGAAGGTCTTTAAATTCGTACTACAAAGTGCAGCGTCCATGTAACGTTAAAGGGGTTCACCACGCGGGAGCACGTCTGCATCGCGATGATGTTAAGTAGGCACCTCAAAGTAAGTAGCGCTCCTTGTACTCCAGCTGATCATGGGGTAGTGATGTTAGCTGTTAGCATCGAGAAGGAGTTGTACAAACAAGTAGATCCGTGTCTGCAATGCACACACGGACAAATGAACACTCTCACCCGGGATAAAGGTTAAAGTGCATGGTGTCCTGAGATGGTTACTGTTTTAGGACAACAGGTGTTCAACTCCGTGTTCTAGTATTCATTGTCAATATGAGGAATCTTTCTCAAAGACCTTCACGTATTATTTGTGCGCTTTTTGTTTTTCTGAATTTTATCAAGACTGGGCAGCTTTCTTTTACGACAAGCTGACTCTTTTTGACTTATTGTAGAGAAAATGTTTTTTCTAAAAAATATATATAAAAAAAACGAAATTCCGACATGGATATTGGTACTGTCATTTTTTTCACTTCTGTTTCAGGAAAAAAAAAACAATGCATATTTTTTAGCTCGACTCTTGGGGTAATGTTATTAAGAAATTCAAAACTTAAAAAAAATTACAACTCACTTTTAGTGAATTTAAGATGCCTTTAACCTTTCCATTCCATCTCATCTCTAGAGTTTTCTATCTTTGTGTAGTATATTAATGCTATTTTAAAACAAAAGGAAAAAAGAGATATCTAAAGATCACTTAGCGTTATTTTCTTTTTGGTTATTGTGTGTGTATAGGACAACTTCCTTACATCTATGAGGCATGTACAAATGAGCTCACTATATTTCTGTCTGTTTATATTGCTTACCTTTTCGTATACTTTGTAATTGTACATGGTGAACTGTAAGCTGAGAGCCTGGTATCCGGCGAAAGAGAGGGATGGTCTGAAGCGTCCACCTTCCACTCCTCTCTGTTTTGTCCTTGTATGTATTTCCATTTATTCGTTTCTTTCTCTCTTTTTTTTTTTTTTCCTAGCAAGTACTTTCAAAGAACTCTGTACATTTTAACATGGAACAAAAATAAATTATGTTGAGCCATTTCACTTATTGTATTTCTTGAAAAATCTCTAAAGTAGTGTGTGTTTTTAAATTAATTCTCTCTTTTAGAATTCATTCTACTCTATCAAAGCCAATGCATGGACTGTTTTAAACTGAGCATTACCTTCGGTTCAACTGGAAAGACTTTCTAGAGATTTGATAAACGTTTAAGTTGATGCTCAATCTGTTGTTAGAGCTGCAGAAGGCACAATGCAGTTTATGTATATTGTACTATGCTGTGAAATAGCTTTTGCATTTAAAAACAAACAGGGTTGAATGTTTAAAGCAGCACTATGTAACTATGTAACGCTCTAGCGGTTAATAAACAGAACTGCACACATCCCGCGGAAGAACATTCCAACCGGAGCTACTTCTCTAAGTGTATGTCTCTGGCGATTCACGCAGGTGTGTGTTACTCCGCAGCGGTGACCAGGCTACAATAGTCCGAATATAAGCACTTACAAGTGTACCGGAGTGATTCGGAATAAGACAAAAACGCAGTTTGGAAGATGAATTCATGATGTACTCGCTCATTATATACATTTTGCAAATTTTGAAAACAGAAAAAGTTACATAGTGCTGCTAGCCTTGTACATGCTCGTACCACTTATGTGTTAGAAATACATAGTTTTGTGCTGATTTTTCTACAGATATCTAGTTTAATAATAGTTTATTATTGGATACAATTGTTGCAGACATTTTTTAGATATTAACTTAAAAGTTCGTATTAAATGACAATAATTTAGTAACATTGTTGATCAATTTTAAGTAGATCTGAAAATGTATTTCTTTCATATCATCTTTCATACTTTACTGTATAATGCTGTGATGCTTTAATTCACTCACTTGTAGCATATTTTTGATATTTATATTTATATTTTGACGGTATAGTATACAATTTTCCTTGTCAATCATTGGTTATCTGCCATACCATGGAAATACTTATTGGTATCGGACAGATTTTTAATTGGAGAATCCCTAAAATGTATTCTATATATATATATATATATGTATATATGTTGTAGCATAACCTGGGGACACAGCTTCAAGTCTTTTGAATAAAATGTCTAATACTAGAATTAGATTTATATATATAGATATATAGACCGAGAACAAACACCAAATGCAATCTTTTGTTTCCATATAATGTATGGAAACAAAAAATAAATTGGATAGGGACAGGATAAAAAGGCATCTTTGTGGGGACCATTTTTGTAATAGTGTAATTAGGTATCAGCTTGAGGATAAGGCATTTTTTCATGGGCTGACATATTTAATTCAGTTTATTATAGCATTTATAACCTCAATTTCCATCGTCAGAGGACAAGCTACCTTGAGCCAATAAAACAACGCTGTGCAGTGACGTTTATTGGCCACTGTCCAATCAACTTCGAGAATAATAGTCCACTCGATTCCAATTATATATGGAGTGGGCGGGGTCAACGTGCTAGACGTAGCCTGCCATTGGCTAGCGCGAGTAACAATCATATTTTCTCGTCACAAAATAACGGAGACGGAAGCGACATTTCTGGTTCTGTCTAATTAAAGAATCCTGGGAAGAAGAAACAAAACAAACCGATTGTAAGTATTAATTTATATTTACAATATAAGCGTTCGCACCCAAAGAAAATGAATGGACCCTTTTAATCCGTGGCTTGTCACGAGACAGTCCTGTGATGCGCGAGAGAGGATGATGATGATGATGAAGATGAGCAGGCTGCTCTTTTATAAAGCTATTCTTCTCTCCGGTAACCGGATAGGGATGTAGAATAACGAATGAACTCCGAGGCCTATCGGTTACCGTGAAGATGCAGGTTTCTGATCAGTTCTAGACCGAGTAGGCTTCAGGTCTGCGTTAATAATCTCGTGCGCTCCGCGTGCTGTTACTCTGTCTTCAGCTGCTAAGATGATCCACAGCCTCTTCCTGGTGAACGCGTCGGGGGACATCTTTCTGGAGAAGCACTGGAAGAGCGTGGTCAGCAGGTCCGTCTGCGATTATTTTTTCGAGGCTGTGGAGCGAGCCACGGAACCGGAGAACGTTCCTCCGGTGATCCCGACCCCGCACCACTGCCTCATTAACGTGCTCCGCCAGCGCATCTACTTCGTGGCCGTCATTCAGAGCGAAGTGCCGCCTCTGTTTGTCATCGAGTTCCTCCATCGTGTGGTGGACACGTTTCAGGTTTGGACGTGTTTTAATTATTTTTATAATGCAGCGTTAATACAGTTTGCTTTTATATTTACAATAGTTTACCATAGTTCACCATAGTGGCTGAATCATGGAAAACAGCGTGTCACTTCGAAATATACACTAACAGTCAAAAGTTTTTGAACAGTACGATTTTTATTTTTTATTTTTTTTTTAAACAAGTCTTTTCTGCTCACTAAGCTTGCATTTATTTGATCCAAAGTACAGGAAAACTTTGAAATACTTTTACTATTTAAAATAACTTCCTTCTATGTGAAATCTGTTAAAGGTCCCATATTGTCAAATCTGACATTTCCTTTCACGATAATTTTTCATGATAACTGAGGTCTAGGGGCTATTTAACTCCCATACAAGTTTCAAAACAGTCAGTCCACAGTCAAATGCACACAGCCTGCATTTATTTATTGTCAATATTTAAAACAGTTACATTTTTCAGGATTCTTTGATGAATAGAAAGATCCAAAGATCAGCATTTATCTGAAATAAAAAGCTTTTGTTTAGCAGAGATGCTTTAAATTGATCAAAAGTGATGATAAAGACATTTATAAAGTTACAAAAGATTTCTATTTCAGATAAACGCTGTTCTTCTGAACTTTCTATTCATCAAAGAAACCTGAACAAATTCCACTCAGCTGTTTTCAACATCATCATAATAATAATAATAATAATAATAAATGTTTGTTAAGCAGCACATCAGCATATTATACTGATTTCTGAAGATCATGTGACACTGAAGACTGGAGTAATGATGCTGAAAATAAAGCTGTGCATCACAGGAATAAATTGCATTTGAACAGAGATTCACATAGAAAGCAGTTATTTTAAATAGTAAAAATATTTCAGAGTTTTACTGTTTTTCTGTACTTCAGATCAAATAAATGCAGGCTTGGTGAGCAGAAGAGACTTCTTTTACAAACATTAAAAATCTTGCTGTTCAACAGTGTTTGACTGATAATGTACCATGTCCAAAAAACATATAGTAAGAAATAAAGTAGTGCCATGGTGTTTTTAGTCAAGTGTTCTCCAAGGTAATTGAATTATTACTATGGTAAACTTATTAAGATGACATGGTATTGCCTCGGTGCCGTGTCCAACACATGTAATGTCGTGATATGGTACATGCTTCTAGGATTTAGTGCATTAATAATATCCGTATTGTATGTCAGTACCACACAGTACTTCAATATATATATATATATATACCATTATGTTTTTGTTTTTTAATGACTTTTTTGAAAGTAGTGTATCTGCAGTTGCTGTCATTAACAAACTTA